CTATCTATCTATCTATCTATCTATCTATCTATCTATCTATCTATCTAGTTATTTATTTATCTAGTTATTTATCTATCTACCTATTTATTTATCCATCCATCCATCTATCTATCTATCTATCTATCTATCTATCTATCTATCTATCTATCTATCTATTTAGTGTGTATGTGTGTGTGCGCGCGCGCATGTGTGAGCATGCTCATGCTCGCATGCGGAGTCCACAGGACTATGCCAGGCGCCCTGCTTTATCGACCTCTACCTCACTCCCTCCAGCCAGAGTCTTTCCCTGAACCTGGAGCTAGGCCGCAGCCTGTAGCTTCCAGGTTCTGCATCGCGGAGTTTGCAGGCCAGGTACGTGGAGATTCTCAGCCCTGTATGTGGGTTCAGGGAGTTTGAACGCCACCGCGCTCATACTTTCACAGCAAACACTCTCGCTGCTGAGCCATCTAATTCTGTCTAAATACAGTTTTTCCCCTTCCCTTTCTTCCAGAAATAATAATTTAGTATGAGTATTCAAAATTTCCCCTCATATTACTGAATAAATGTAATTTTGTCATATATAAGAGGTTTTTGTGTTTTTTTTTTAAGTTATTTTTCCAGTTTTAACTAGACAGGGACATTAAATCTCAACCTCTCTGAATTCTTACATCCACAGTTTTTATTTTAAAAGCAAGGTTCTTGTTTCCTTCCAAACAGTCACTTAGGGCAGGCTCTGGCCCGGCTTCAGGTGAGAGTGTTAAGCAAGAGGGACGGGCTTCAGAGACTGAAGCCATTTTCTGCCAGAGTGGCTGCTCTTTACTCATTTTATGGGCACGGTGACTCAGGTACCTGATCAAATTTCCCTCTGTGCAAATGGATGGAAAAAGTCAGAGTGGAAATAGGGCCCTATCCAGAGTGGGGCCTTCTAGAGTACATTAGGTGCTCAGCTTTATCCTGGTTCCATGTCTCTCTGCCTTACAAACCCTACTCACACATATCCTGTCTCCCATCTGCTTGATTTTTCCCTCTTTGCTTTGTTTGTTTTGTTTTGAAGTGAAGGGGATGGGGGTGGAGGTGGGGAGAGGTTCTATGTAGTCCTAGCTGTCCTGGAACTTGCTTGGTCTTGAGCTCATATCAATCCACCTGCTTCTTCCTCTGCCTCCTGAGCGCTGTGATTAAAGGTGTGGGCCACCACACCTGACCTTTTCCCTTCATTTCTAACATACTGACAAAATGCAATCTGGAGACATATAGAGGTGCATAGAAAATTGCATATTTGTGCTGATAAAATGCATATATTAATGTATAGAAGCCAAACTCAAGGATGGAGGTAGAGGTTCATGGTATGATGCTTTTCCAAGTAGGCATTAACTTTTAGGTTTGGCCCCATAATAAGAAAGAAAGAAAGAAAGAAAGAAAGAAAGAAAGAAAGAAAGAAAG